GCGCCCTAGCAGCTAGCACAGTACCATAGTGTGCGTAGTCGCCGTGTAGTCGCAGTCGTCGCTACCTGCCTTCCTGTCTGCCTTTGGGGGTGTATGGTTACATGTACTAATTTTCAGTGTACGTGACATCGAATGTTTGATATTAATTTGAAGTATTAAATATATTTTAATTATAAAACTAATTATATAGATAAAGATTAATTTGCTAGACGAATCTATTAAGCCTAGTTAATTCATCATTAGTGTATATTTACTGTAGCACCACATTATCAAATCATGCACTAATTAGGTTTAATAGATTGGTCTTACAAATTACTCTCAATCTGGTTGCATTTGCTGGCTCGTGCTGTGCGCTGCACACGTAAGTACTCCGTATAAATGAGCGCTGCACTGTGCACACTCCAACCTCCTAGTGTTTGGCCAATGGATAGAAGGCGACCCATGTCCATGTGGGCTGTGGCGCTGTGCCGTCCTCGATGGATAGGCCAGCAGCTGTTCGCCTGTTCTAGGGCAGGCATCCATCCTGGTCCCTGGAGCAGATGGGGCCAGCCAGAGCTAGGGCCACATCCATGACACGAATCTGAGTGACCATCGGCCGGCTGCACGCAGGTAGCAGAGGCAGCGTCGTCAATGCGCTGCTGCCTGCGCCTGTGCAGCTCATCAATCCGCTTCACAGCAGCATCTTCCGCTCGCTGTTTATCATCATCTCAGGCCTTGATTAGATTCTTCTCCAAAGTTTACTCTCTATCACATAAGATGTTTGATACATGTACGAAGTATTAAATATAAACTAAAAAATAACTAATTTATTTTTTTATTAGTATCCAAACACTTCATTCGATATCTCCATGTGACATCCGATATAACATCTCTAAACTTTACTTCCCGAATTTAAACACCATCTCAATTCTCAAAAACTATGGCCTTATTTAGATAGATGTTAGGAATCAGTATTTGACACTGTAGCACTTTCGTTTGTATTTGACAATTATTGTCCAATTATGGCCTAACTAGACTCAAAAGATTCGTCTCGTAATTTACCATCAAACTATGTAATTAGTTATTTTTTTATCTACATTTAATACTCCATACATGTATTCAAAGATTTGATATGATAAAGAGAGAGTGAAAAAACTTGGAATCTAAACCAGGCCTGTGCCTGCGTGCAGCTCCTTTTGCATTGGACGTGTGCCAACCAACACTTGTGGCGAGAGCACCCTTTGGCCATTTGGCCGCTGTCTGCAGCTGCATCAGCGGCGGCGGGTCTGATGGCCGTGAACGCCAAGCGCTACACCTTGGCGGCTCTCCTCGCGACGCTCGCGGTGGCGGTCATCGTCACCGTCTTCTTCGTGCTGCTCTGCCCGGCGCGCATCACCTTCTCCGTCGCGCGCACGGGCAGCAGCCACAACAGCTCCGGGCCCGCAGGCGGCGGCAGCAGCGTGCTCAGCCTCACCCTCGCCGCCGACAACCCCAGCCGGCGCGCGAAGGTGACGTACGAGAGCATGTTCGTGGACGTGAGCAACAGCACGGCGCCGGGAGCCCAGGGGGACAACTGGGTGCGGGCGACGGTGACGACGCGCATGCCGCTGCGGCAGCAGGGGCGCACTGCGGCCATCGACGTGACGGTGCCCCTGGTGGACCCTTGGACCCAGGACTTCACCGGGAACATGAGCAGCCTCTTCTCCGTCATGGTCACCGCGCAGGCCAGGTTCAGGGTCGGCGTCGCGTGGACGCGGCTCTACGACATCAAGGTCTCCTGCAGCCCCGTCAGCTTCTTCACCGCGAAAGCTATACCGGCCGGTGCCGCCGCTGCCGCCGGCGGCGCAGCTGGCCTGCCGGTCAGATGCGTCTAGCTAGTCAGTGGCTGATGCATATCTACAGCACAACTTGTGCCAGTGTAGTGTGTGTTGTATTGTGATTCGAATTCGATCGATCGATGTGCAATGGAAGATTGATTTTGCTTGGATTGGTTTGTGATTACGAGTATAATTTTTGAACTTGAACGTAACTGCATACCGTATTTTGTGATTAAGACTTAAGAGTGATGGATAGTACAACAATGGAGATTTTCGCCATCAACCGACGGCGGTCTCTCACGCTTTTGTCACTTTTTGAAAGATTTTATTCATCAGGAGGAGGTTGAAACTTTATAATAAAAAATAGATGGTTGAATGCAAAATTCATATAAAGGTTGGAATAAAATTCCTTTATCTAAAATAAAAGAAGTACATCTAGAAAATGCACTTAACGCTACTGTGTTTAGGCCGTGTATCATCCGCTACATACAAGCGGCCAATTGTTGCATCGTTTCAGCTGAAGCCGGACGTTTATGTGGCATGGGCTGACACAGTGACACTAGATTTCCTTTGATTCGGGCTGCTTTCATCTTTTTTCCCTCCGAGTTGGGCTGAGTGAATGCATCTTCATCTGTCCATGCATTTTCTCCCCTAGATAACCCAGCAGATTCCTATAGGAGAAGCAGGGGCCACGTCGTCCAAAATTCTCCTGGCCGTCGGATCTCCCATCGGATGGCCATGGGTCTTTGAAGCGGATTGCACCGGAAGCCGATCCTTCTGCTTTTCGTCGGATTCTTCTACTTCTCCCCTGCTTCACCCGATTCTTGTCCGAATCCAGATAGCCAAATATATACCGCAGCTTTCGCTTCCCCTTCCCGTTCCTCTCCCCCTCCTCTCTCCTCTTCGTTATCTCTCTCTCCCTCGATCTTTCCCCGGCGCGGGAGATTTAACTTTTTAGCATTATTAGGATTGGCACCTCCTGAAATCTCACTACAACGGCTGGCAATACGACTTTGGCACGCAACGGAGAGAAGAGATACAGAATTGCCACTTTTGCACTCGTGGCACGACAGCGTGTCAGTCCAAGTGGGATCCGAGGCAGCATGGGGGTGGCAAATGGCCGCGGCTGCCCCTGCCCTCTGCTGCTAACCCAGCAGGGCCGCACTCAGTCGCCTCGCCCGGCCCATTCGCTCGTTCTTCGTCTCCCTGCTCTCGTCGTAGCCCTCCGCCGCCGCCGCCGCCATCCGACGATGCCGCCGCCTTCCTCTCCCAACTTTCTCGATGGATTGAAGGTAAGTGTGGAGCGCCATTGTCGCCATCCCGCTCGTTTTATTGCACTGGTTTTGATGGGATTGTAGGTTAGGTTAGGGTCCCTACCAGTGATGGTGAAATTGTCCGCCTTCCTTGCTTTGTAGGTCGTTGATGTAGTGGCTTCTGTTGCGGTGGAGATTGGAGACACAATGGATTGGAGTGGTTGCCCTATTTGGTAAGTTAAACTTCAGTGCACTTCGTCCTCGCTTTGATTCCGGATTGGGCAGATGTTATGTAGTACGATACCGTCTAACAGTTTGATTTGTGTTTCTGTTCGTTATTGTGTCAGGATTCATCCTGGCAACGCTTTTAGATTAGTTGTTAAGGTTTCTAAGTATGTTGCTGATGGTGAGTACGGGCAAGTAGAAATGTCACCGTAGGAGCATGAACTATGGCTGGATAGGACTGTGCAGTTTTCTTTGTCTAAATTTCATGATGAAATGGCCAGTAAGATAATCTGGGGACCTTCATAGGCATTGGCTATTTGGGTGGTTGACAGTGACAGTGAATCTGAATGAAAAGTTAGGAGGGATGAACATTTTGAGTAGCTGATAAAGGATATATGGAATGACAAGATAGCTGTGCTTGTAGTGGATGTAGTCAGCAAACATGCTCAAACTGCCAATGCTAGTTCTGGTGTTAGGTGTGCATCTGATGTCACTTCTGCACAAGGCCGTACTGCTCCTGGTAATGCACAAGGCTGTGGTGCTCCTGATCATGTAGAAGGCAGTGTTGTTCCTGATAATGTTGAAGGCAGTGGTGACACCTATAGCTCTCCACCTCCATCTATGCCAGTGGAAGAAGCAGAAGAGGTTGATTGGGCTGTGTTGACTATATTGGCAGAGCCTAATGAGGATGTAGAGGCCATGGAAGTTGCTGACGAGGACAAAGTGTATGAGGCAATGGGTTTCAAAGCAGCAGATGACAGAGCAGAGGAAGCAACTAGGGAAGTTGTGCCTATCCCTACCATGACAGCTGAGATGTAGAGTGATATGGCAGATGCAGCTATACTAGTTGATGATCATGTGGGTGAGGAGCCAATGTTTGATTGGGATAGGGATAATCTAGATATGTCTATAGGGGTTTCTTACCCTTCTATGGATGATTTCAGATTAGCTGTGAGACAACATGCAATTGTCAAGGAGTTTGAGCTTCACACTGCACGCTCTGATACATCAAGGTTTAGGGGAAATTGTGCTTCTCTTGGATGTCCTTGGATTATTAGAGCTAGAAACCAACATGATGAGAGTGTCAGGGTATTTTTTTTATAGATTTGTTTTGTTTCATTTAAACTGTCTAGATGTTATGTTTGTCTAGATACTTATGTTTGGTTGTTTTGTGCATGTGTAGGAGCAAATAAATGAAGGGCAGTATAATTGTGCCTCTAGAAGCAGAGTGGTTGGCAAGATGGCCTCACAAGCTTGGGTGGCAGAGAGGGCTATTCCACTACTCAAGAAGAAGCCAAGCATGGGTCCAAAGGAAGTGCAGGAGGAGCTGCAGACCAAATACAAGATTGAGATTCCCTACCAAACTGTAGTGTATGGCAGATAGAGAGCAGCCAACAAGCTTTTTGGTAAGTGGGATGACTCATTTGATTGGTTGTATAGATTTAAGGCAGAGGTGGAGATGAGATCACCTGGTACCATAGTTGAGATAGCTACTGAAGAAGTTGATAGAAAGATTCATTTCAATAGATTTTTTTGTTGTTTCAAGGCAGCCATAGATGGTTTTAGAAATAGATGTAGATCATACATTAGTATAGACTCCACAACCCTTAATGGGCTGTGGAATGGCCACTTGCCCTCAGCCCAAGCATTAGATGGCCATAACTGGATATATCCTTTAGCATTTGGATTGTTTGACTCAGAAATCAAAGAAAACTTGATCAGGTTCATGGAGCAGCTTAGCAAAGCAATTGGACCTATGGACAAGTTAGCAGTATGCACTGATGCTTGCAAGGGTCTTGAGGCAGCAGTTTCTCAAGTGTGGCCTCATTGTGAGAAGATAGAGTACTTCAGACATTTGATGGAGAATATGAAGAAATATTACAGTGGAGACATCTATGCCAAAAACATGTGGCCTGCAGTTAGGGCCTATACTCCTCACAAATTCAAGTATTTCTTTGACAAGGTTGTGGAAGCTAGCCCTAGTGTGCTTACTTGGTTGAAAGAGCACCATAACCTACTCTGGGCTAGGAGCAAATTCAGTAGTGACATCAAATGTGACTACATCAACAATAATTTAGCTGAGTCCTAGAATGCATGGATCAAAGAGCATAAGGATCTGCTTGTGCATGTTTGGCTGATGCTATTAGGGAGAAAACAATGGTCCTGTTTGCTAAGAGAAGAAAGATCTCCACTGCCTTGACTGGAGGAACCTTACCTGCTGTCATACACCAGCTCAATGAAGCTTCCAAGGGTCTATGCCACCTCAAAGTGACCAAGGGGCATCTAGAAGAAGCAGAAGTCACAGAGATATACAAAGATGAAGAAGTGAGGAGGCATGTTATGTATCTTACAAAGCATATTTGCACCTATAGAGAATGGCAGGTAACTAGGAAGCCATGCCCACATGCATTGGCTGTCATCACCACTGAGGCAGCCCCAAATGGACCTATATGTGGACAAATACTACTCTGTTAAGAAGTTTCAGGCTGCCTACCATGGTGTTATCCCAACACATGACTGACAGAAACCAATGGTCTGAGGTTGACAAGGGTTTCAAGTTGTTGCCACCACTGTCCAAGAAGAAAAAACCACCAGGCAGATTGAAGAAGAGCAGGTACCTATCTTCAACTGAAAGAACTAGAAAAAGAACTAGGTAGGTAAAATGTACTGGTTGTGGTGAGTATGGCCACAGAACTGGTAGCTGGAGGTGTGCACTGACAGGGACAAAGAAAAGGTAAATACTGAACTGTTATCTTATTTCAACAAATAAGCAACAACTAACCTAACTATGGTGTTTATTTATAGGAAGAGGACAAAGAAGACAGCACCTAGATCAGGAAGAAAGAAGGCCAAGAAGGACCAGCCACCAACAGATCAAGGAACACCAAGGACAAGAGCAGCAGTGGCTAGAGAGGCAGCTGCAAAGGCAGCAAGAGAGGTTGTAGAAACAGCTGATAAGGCTACTACTATAGCAGAAGCACCAGAATAAGCAGACAGGCATCTGCTGGATGTGCCACCACTGGAGAGAATTCCACCATCAAGCCCAAGAACACCTCCAAGGTATGATACAACCTTTACAATTCTATGCTTGCCAAAGAATGCAACCCTGAACTCCTGGATGTTTGAACACAGGAACACCTGCCTTGATTTGCAAGTTGTAAACCAGATTCAAGACATGCCTGTTGATGGTGCTCCAAGGAAGATGACACCAAGGAGGAAGCAGCTGGCATCCAAGGTCAGGAAGAGTCTAGAAAAGAAGACTCCAGCAAAGAAGGGGAAGAAAAAGTGAAACTTGTAGTGAACCTTTTTGTGTGATCTTTTGTGTAGTGATGCATGGCCTAAACATTATGTGCTTTATGTGGCCACAAGACAATGTGATGTGTGGCCGTAAGCTTTTGTGTTGGAACTGGCCAAATGACTTTGTAATGTGTGGCCTTAAGCTACTGTGATGTAAATGGCCAAATGTCAATGGATGTGTAGACATCCCAACTATCTAAACCTATTATGGTTTATATTAAATTATGTGCCATTGCTCTATAAAATGATGTTCGTGTGATCTATTTTTATTATACCTCTGTGAATTATGTGTCAATTCATCATTTCAGTTTCAGTCATCCATCAGTTTCATTCATCCATCCAGACAATAAAATTTTGGGGACAACATTTTTCAGTTTCATTCATCCATTACTTCATTACAGCATACATCACTACACACCCAAAGACAACACATGCAACACAAGCAATGAACATGTTCATCTTCCACATCAGTTTCTCCAGCTTGTGCTCCAATTCCTTCCTCAGCTTGTCACCATCTGGACTCCCCACTGAAGCTTCTTCTTCCACCACCTCTGCCCAGTTCGATGGCCGAACAATGACGATGCCGAGATCCTTCAACTGCTGGAAGTACTGTTTTTCGAATCGATAGTACCCACACAACTTGGAGAACTAAAAAAAGGACACAAATTACAACCCTAACTGTGCTAATTTTAGGAAAATCCAGGAGACAACTCACCCCATTCCTTGCACATTTGAAGTACAGACGACCATGATTCTCACTGTCCTTCTTGGTCCGCCCCTCCACCACCCGAGCAGGGATGGCAATCCGGGCAAGGGATCAACGGGAAACCGTTGAGCTCACCAATGGGATCGAGACCGACCGAGGCAATGCGGGTGCTCGGGCCACCGTGAAGCCTGCTCCTCGCCCGTCCACCTCCAGACGACTCCGAGTAATGCTCCATCGAGAAAGCTGGAAGAGGAAGGAGGGAGAGGAAGGCGACGGCGTCGTCGGATGGCAGCGGCGGCGGAGGAGGGCTACGGCGAGAGCGGGGAGACGAAGAACGAGCGAATGGGTCGGGCGAGGCGACTGAGTGCAACCCGGCTGGGTTAGCAGCAGAGGGCAGGGGTAGCCACGGTCATTTGCCACCCCCATGCTGCCTCTGATCCCTCCTAGACTGACGCGCTGTCGTGCCACAAGTGCAAAAGTGGCAATTCTGTATCTCTTCTCTCCGTTGCATGCCAAAGTCATATTGCCAGCCGTTGCACTGAGATCTCAGGAGGTGCCAATCCTTAAAATGCTAAAAAGTTAAATCTCCCCCCACCCTTAACCCGGGCAGGGGCGACGGTGGCTCCCGCGCGCTGGGGCTCTGTGGCGGCGCCCACCCTTCTCCTCCTCCTCCTCCTCCGTTCCTCCCTCCCGCGCCTGCTTCGCACCTCTGTTCCTCCCTCCCCTTCGTCTCTCTCTCTCTCTCTCCCTCCCAAGGTGGCGGCGGGCGCGAGGTGACGGCGCCCCCCGCAGGCGGCGCTCCGGCGGGGGCGTGGCCCGGCGGCCCCCTCCCTCTCCCTCATCCTCTACGCGGGCTCCTCAACACCTCCTCCCCCGGGGAGCGTGTGCTTCTCTGCTCGATGAAACCCTAGCACGCGCGGTTGTGCAGGCGCGGCGGCCCCTCCACGGGCGCACCTCGACGCCGTGTCAGTCTGTGTTTCCTCCACCAGGTACGCCCACCCTTTCTCTTCCCTTCCTGCTGTGCGAAACCGAGCACCCACACCCTACCTTCAATCTCTGATCTGATCTAATTACAACCTATTGTGCCTGAGGTTAACTGGGAGGAGGTCAACTGGATGTGGAGCCATCAATTGATGCTTAAAATGTTACGAGAGAAAAACACTGTTCTATGGCTAGCTCAAGCGAACAGGTTGGACATCTGAAAAAAACCGTACCGGAGCTGCAGATCGAAATGACATATGCATGCTGTGGCAATAACCCACGAATGCCGAACGAATGCCGAACGAAAAGGATCTGTATATACTCAGCCTGTTTGGGAGGCCGTATCGTATCGTGGATTATTTACTGCTGGCTGGTTTGGTGTGAGAGAAAAACACTGTTTCCAGCTGGAAATTTACGATCGTTTACGAGCAAGCGAACAGGCTGACTGTTCCTCAATAACCCACGCTTCACTCATGTCTTGGAGACAATAATGTTGGAGACTGGAGTAGTACAGCCGGGGCTCAATGGGAGGAACAGTACACACTTATGGGAGCACGTTCGTTAGGCACTTCCGTAGGTTCAAAGTCTCTACACGTACTCAGCATAAATCATTGTTTGTTGCTAATTGGTCGCGCGGGACGACCAGGACGATGACGACGACTTGTTGAGAGCTGCTGGCGCGCGCGGTTTTAATGTACCGACACTTGGCAGGTGAGGTGCCATGCAAATGAATGAGGGTCTGCATCTACCCTGCCATCCGTAGTACGACGACGCTGAACCCACTGACGGTCATTTGTTGTCACTACTTGTGGCTGATGACAAGATATGACAGCTCCTTTGGCTTGGGTAATCGACTGTTCGGTAAGACTAAAAAATAAATTAAAATACTATTTCGATTAATTATTATGAGAAAAAATATTATTCTATCTAAAAACACTGTTTATGTAAACAGTGTCCGTATGCGTGCGCTGGCCAGCCCAGCCCCAGCCGGCCGGCCAGCCGAACGCGCTGTAGGCCTTGCTGACTCTGCGCTGTTAGCTACATCAGGGTCCTCGCCAATCAGAAAGATACTTTTTTCCTATTCTTTTTCTGACCCCCTCTCTCTACCTCTCCTTTCCTTTTCTTATTTTTATTTATTTCCTTTATTTTATATTTTATTCCTTCCTGTTTTTAATCATTTGTATGTTTATCATTTATATTTCAAACTTGCTCAGAACATTTTCCTTTTTTCATGAACCTTGAACATTTTTCTTGTGAAGCGACTAACATTTGTCATGACATTGCAAAACAAATTATCTTGAACATGAAATAACTTTTTGTCCTGAAATGGAGCATTCTCATCCCAAATCTAGACCAAATTTCTAATCAACCTAGAGCAATTTTCCCATGGAGTCAGGGCATTATATTTTTCTCTTAAATCTAAAACAAGTATCTCGTCAGAACAATCATCTATAGGGCCATTTTTTGTGTGAATCTAGAACAATTTGTCCATGAACCTAGTACATCATCCCTCTAAATAAAAGAAAATATCCTATCTTCGTGATGTCATGCAAATATATGAGACGGGGGGTCTTGTCTTAATGCTCTTATGGCACTCCTAATGCAGAAATCACCATAGTTTTTATAAACATTAATTGTACTGCCACCTAAGCGTTTTGCTAATGTGGCAAGGTAGTTATTGAAGAGAGAGAGAGTAAAAATCATAGAAACCGGGTCTAAATTAGAAACCATGTCTATACGAGAACAAGACATGAAGGGATGCGATTGATAAAGAATGGAGAGACAATGTATGTGATTGGATAAAAAACTATTCAGTAGAAACTATCTATTGGGACCATGGTTTCTATACATAGTGTCTTTAGAAATTAATAGGTATAGAAACTACATGTAGTTTCAAGCATTGAAGCTGTCCTTATTGTAGAAAGCATATGTTGTCTTGCTAGAGCGCCATAGAAAGTCTGGAAGTCAAGAGCCTGTTCGGCAGGACTGAAAAATACTGTTCCGATTGATTATTGTGAGAGAAAAATACTGTTCTAACAGGACGTAAACAGTGATTTCATGAGGAGGCTGGCCAGCCAGCCGAACACTGCCCAAGCTACTTTTCACAGTGAATAAAGTAGTGGGTTGCCCAAGCTACTTTTCACAGTGAATAAAGTAGTGGGTCCCTTGTTAAGATGTAAAGCGTTGACGAGAAATCTACAGCCCCCCCGTTTTAGGGGTGTTTGGTTCCACCTTCTACACCTTCTACACTTTAGTCGTTGTCCCATCGAATGTTTAAACATATGCATGGAGTATTAAATATAGACTATTTACGAAACTAAATACACAGATTGAGACCATTTTGTGAGACTAATTTTTTAAATCTAATTAGTCCATGATTTGACACCGTGGTGCTACAGTAAACATGCGCTAATGATGGGTTGATTAGGCTTAATAAATTTGTTTCGTGGATTACTAACGGATTCTGTAATTTGTTTTTTTATTAGTATCTAAACACCCCATGTAACACCCTTATATGATACATTCTAAACTTTAAACTTTAGTCATCGGATCTAAACACCCTTTAAAGTTTCTACAGCCAGGTGGCATTATCAGTTAGGCTAAAATAACTTTTTTTTTCCTTCGTGTTGAGCCTGCGCTCACAAAGGGGGAGAGGACAGCACGTATGATATACGTCACATCACTGAAAGCAAGTGACGTGTATCCGAGATGACATCAGAAAAACCGTAGCGGAGCTGCAGACTGAAATGAATTCGTGCCCATGCATGCATACTGTGGCAATATCCTTAAATAATGCGGCAGGGATAAAAATGTATCACTGTTGAATCGTTTAGTAATCCCACGTTGACTAACCGATCATCAAACGTGGATAGTGGTGAAAAGGCGACGGTGACCATGACCTTTGTATTGATAGTTCATACGCTGAAACGACGATGATGTTTACCTCTATAGACGTCTTGGTCGTCGAAGCGACAGCGAACTTGCACCGCATATAATCTGGTCGA